GGTTGAGCAACGATCGTAGATAGCGTTAAAAAGAGGTGAATATGTGAAGTGGTGGAGAAAGGGAGAGAACGATGTACGAAACCTACATGTACCTACCTACATGTACTACATTGCGCAGTTGTGAACATCAATCCAACCCCGCCTCCATTATTGCCTCCACCATCATACATGTACACTTTGGAAAGCTGCGTTCCAATAGACGTTCAGCTGTGACATGCCAACTCGCCTTCTGCCCTAACTACAGTAATCCACTTGTCCATCAAGGTAGTTGTTTTGGTAAGATCCAAGTTGCTGATGAAAGGGAAGTGGTGAGGAAAGAGCTCGCGATTCTATACAGTACCTAGTCATTCGAAAATAGCAAGCAGATGTTGTTAGAGGACCAGAGTTTATACCACACCTATAAGTGTGTTCTTTCCTACTACATACAGTATCTGCTAAGGTAGGTATTGGTTCAGCGGAAATTGTCACCATTAAAACAGATAGATTCGAAGGTGTCAAGAGAGGTAAGAATCAGACGCAAAGAGAATCCCGTAGCCCATGCCTGTCTGCCTGCCTGTTCGGCGCGGCCAGACGTCTGTTCATTCCGTCCGCAAGTGGTATAATCCAACGACAAAAAAAAAAGAGAAACAAAACTTGAAATGCTTCATGCACATGACCAAAGAATGAAAACCACCCCTAACTCGGTGGTCCGTGTCCATCCATCTCCTCTCCTCTTCTCTCAAAAACAGATTAGACATTACCTCCTCCGCCGCTCTAATCGTCAAGTCCGAAAGCTCTCCTTAGCATACCGAATTTCTTCTTTTTCCCATTCTTTGGGCCATAAGTGCCCTGTTTCCCATTGATTCCAGTTCCATTGTCGGCAAATCCGACGTGTCCGCCAGTGATGACGGCTCCCTCGGCGTTGCTGTGGCTGCGACCGATGTCAGGCCTCATTTGGCGCGCGAGGAGGACGGCCTGCTCGTGTCTGCTCACGCCGTCGCTTGTGCTGGGACGCAATTCTCCCAAGCGCCCTGGGGGAGAGAGCGGCCAGTTCATGTCGCCTTCGTCAGGGAGGGTCTTGGGATTGTTGTTGTTGAAGTAGTCGCGGTCCTGAGTCGCTGTGGAAGTGCGACGCTGAAGTTTGCCGGGCCTTGGGCTGGCGGGCGCGAAGTTCGTCGGGAGAGGCGGTGGTGGCGATGCCATGGGTGGCTGCTGGGATGTGTTGGAGTATGTCCTGCTGCGGCGGAGAATGCTACCCATGAAGCCGCGTCTCTTAGGCGAGTTCTCGACTGTTGGGCTTAGCGGTCGCTCTGGTCCGGCTTTGCGCAGACTTCCCTTTGATAGCGCACTGCCTTCGTTGACTGGCGGTGTACCAGGAGCGGCGCTACCATTAGTCATCCCAAGGTTACGGCGAGCTGCTGCCATCGCCTTTTCTATGTCTGCAGGGTCGGGCACGATGGGTTGAGATTGGTTGTAGCGGCCGTGCGAGGCCTTGCGTGGGTCGTCGTCATCTTCGTCCGAAAGATCTGTCGAGTCTCCGTCCTGTTGGTCGCGCCTCCTAGGAATGCCACGCACCGGAGTGAGATCTGCAGGGATGACAGTCCTGGAACTGGGCTCGTCGTCGTCGGAATCTGCGAAGCGGCTACGGAAGAAGGAAGGCTTCTGGACCCTGCTGCGGTCGTCATCATCGGAGTCGTCCGAGTCGGCAAACTTGGATTTGAACTTGGAGGCCATGTTACTTGTGGAACTCGTCTGGCGAGGCGCAGCTGGGGGCTTGCGTTGTGCTTTTGAAGTCTTGCTTCCCATCGAGTTTGGACCACGTAAAGTTTTGGCGCCGCTGTCTGCTGGAGGCGCGCGCATGGATTCCTTTAGCTGCTTGCGACCAAAGAAGGATCCAGCAGGTGATAAGGAGCGAACACTGAAGGCCTTTCTTGTTGCAGGCGGGAGGGGCGAAATGGGTCGTTGCTGGTGCTGGGAATCATCGAACGACCCAGCGCGCATACTGCGCTTCATAGCATATCTGCCTGACGCATCCATGTTTGATTGCGAAGGCCTACGCTTCTTTTTAAAGCTGCTTTCAGAGTCCGAGTCGTTTGCAGGAACGGGTGGGGGTGGCATATTCTTTGCTAGTCGCGCACTTGTTTGGGCTTGCTGTTGACGCTGCTGAATTTTCGGGAACGGACCATCCTGGGAGAGCTCTTCTGGGCTTTGCGGACGTCTTGACATCGCGCCTCCAGCAGCTGCCAACGGAAGGTTTGAAGCGCTGGAAGTAGGTCTGTGATTTTGCCTCTCAACAGGCTTGGACGCTGTATATTCTGATTGAGGTCGATCTCGCATGCTAGTGCGCATGCCTCCACCGCCACCTTCGCGCAGAGAAGAGCGCATGTGCACTGTGTTTGTTGTCGTTGGCGCAGGCTCTGGAGGACCGCGCATACTCTTTCTCATCGCTGTCTTGACGGGTTGAGAAGGCATCGGGTTTGTCGCGGGCTCCGATGGGGCAGACTGCTTCAATGCCGACTTCTTCTTCTTCGGCCTGTTGGCCAAAGAGTTTGCTGTCGGCGTGTATTCGTCGTCCGAAGATAAATGGCTCCTTTCAATCTGCTCGCGCTGTTGCTTACT